AATGTGAATTTAAAATAAGGAACGGTGTTTTTGGTTTGTAATACTTACATTTGTAAACACCCTCATCCAAATTTTCCGCCATGTTCGATTATGACGCATCCTCTTCTTCTTCTTTATGATGTATCCTCTCGCGTGGCCTCCTGGGATAGAAAAGTATCCATCGGCGAGCACTCAAGAAACTGGGCAGAAGCAGTAGGACATCCGGGAACTTCTGGACTACTCTTTTGTGAATACTGAGGTTTCGGACATACTTATTCGCTCGCCTACTGCTTTTCGCCTACTATATAGTAGAGAAGTAGGCGGTTTCGGACGCAGCCACTGGAAGAGGGGTGTGGATTTTTTTATGGGTGTGAAATTATTTATTGCCATCAGTGAAGAGCTACCGTAAATACTTACACAGCATATCAGCAAATGTGTTCGGAATGTATAATTCCGATTTCCATAATTATTCAAAGACTTTCCTGTAACAATAACATTGTTTTGGTCGGTTGCCATGGATTTCATCAGAGTTGGTCCATTCTCCACGGACACGAGCGTTGAGGGGCTGCTCTCTTGATCTGTGACTCGTGAGGGGAGGAGTTGTGATCGTGACAACATCTGCTCATAAAAGTTAACAAAATATGACTTCAGTTCAAGTTTGAGAACCTGTGCCAAAATGCAGCGTGCTTGACTTTATTACAGAGATGCAATGTTTAACATTTCTTCCTTGACTCATTTTTTATCAAACTTACAAATTCAGACCATTTTTCTCAAAATTGTATTTAAATGCAAAATAACTATGCTTATTTCCATAACAGGATACCTTTCAATTTCACACAAAAATAAAAAAATTCTGAAAATGTATTCACCCTCAGAAATTTAGCATTACATCACCTGCTCACAAGTGGATCCTCTGCAGTGAATGGGTGCCGTCAGAATGAGAGTCCAAACAGCTGATAAAAACATCACAATAATCCACAAGTCATCCACACCACTCCAGTCCATCAATTAACATCTTGTGAAGTAAAAACTGCATTGTTGTTAGTTTGTAAGAATCAAATTCAGATGTTTTTAACTTGCTAACAAATTGTTGCTTCAAACTAAAATACGAGTCTTCTATCCATAATATTGCTTTCTTCAGTGAAAAAGTCATCTCGTCTGAATCAGGAGAGAAATATGCACAGATCAAGTGCCGTTTACAAGCGATGAATGATGAATTTTCAGCAGTTTCATTTTTGAGCCGTTTGTAAACCATTCTTGACTTTATTATTTGATTATAATTGGACACATTCTTATACTGAATTGAATCAAAAGCAGAAAACAATCTTGAATTAACCCGATTTAACCATGTAAGTGATGTAATGTGACAACATTGTACCTTACTGTTAGAAATATTTATACTGCATACTGCATGCAGCTTCACATACTATTTTTAAAGATAGCTTCTCTCTATCTCTGTCTGGCTCTTTGTCCGGGCAGACGATGGTCTCTGTCCCGTGTCTCTGGCTGCAGAGATCCTGATGTGATGTGCTGGTGTTTGCAGTACGCAGCTTGATTCTGCAAGACTCTGACACACTGCAGAATATCTGAACCCTCGGTGTGGCTGTGAGCCAGCGATGCCTGCGAGAAAATCCTCCCATCTGCCATGTGTATTTGGCAGCGTGTGTCTCACTCTGGTTTATATACAGAATGATACAGTGTTCTGTGGAAGTGTGTGTGTGTGTGTGTGTGCGTGTGTGCGTGTGTGTGTCTGCAGTTTCAGTTCTGTTGACATATTAGAGAAATATTTAGCAGTGCTGTGTACAGATAGAAACAGGAATAATTCTGATCCTCTGATGTTAAATGAGGAGTTCATCCAAATTTCTAATATGATGCTTTAATCCTTTAGTGTCTTTATTCAAGCTTGAAAACTCAAGTTTCCATGGAAGAAAGAAAATCATACGTGTTTGGAACAACATAAGGGTGAATAAATTATGACAGAAACAGTTACTCTGAAGTTTGAAATATATATTTAATAACTTTTGAATGTTTAACAAAATTCTGTTGTCCAGGTTGGTAAAATTAATGTTTGATTTGCCTGTGCTCCCCTTTTCCAATCCAGTTTATTCTTCTTTTTTATATATATATGCTGGATGTTCTCAGAATGGTACATTATCTATTATTTTGTGAAGAAGGTACATTGCAGTTTGTACATGATTTTACACAATTTTCGTTATATATGGAATACCTATATACTATATATTTCTAAACCAGTATGTTTTTTTGTTTGTTTTTTATTACCTTTTTTTTGTTTTCTGTCCTAATTTTCTTAACATAATTTTATTAAATTTAAAGTTAGTTATTTTTTGTGCTTTTGTTGATTTTTTATTAGTTTTATGTATTTCTATTTAGCATTTAATTGTAATTTAATTTTAATTATAATAATTTTAGTACTTCAGTTTAAAGTTTTTACATTTTAGTTTTTCATCTAATATTTATGTTCTTATTTTATTTATTCTTATTTAAATGTTAAAAGTTTTTGTGGCACACTACGTGTAATATTATATCCCACAATGCAATGCACTCAACCTTCCATGTGTACCGTGATTAAAAAGGGACTATATGTAAGAATTTTCATACATTAATCGTGTTTTTATTTCCAGTGTGAGCAGCTTGTAATGAAACTTAAAAAACGAGACCTTCCCTGACTTCCTGGGTTGTCTATGAAAGACTGTAGGCTGGTTTTTATGTGTTATGTGAGTTAAGAAATCAGGATATTTTTGTCAAATGTAAACTGGCTGCCACACATTGAATTGAACATAGTATTGAGGTCATGTGACAATAATGTAGCATACTACAGCTGAAGTGTTTATCATGCTGCATTCTGTTTCACATGCTATCTTTGAAAAATAGTAGGCAGTGTACAGTATATACACTCAGAAAAAAAGGTTCAAAACAGTTGCTAGAGTGGTACCCTTTCATAAGGTACTAATATGTGCTTTCAAAGTACTTGTATGTACCTTTAAGATACTAATACATACCATTTAGGGTTAAATAAAGTAATTTTGTACCTTAGGGTACCACCACGCACGGTGACAGCTTTGTATTCTCTTTTTCCATAGCGTGTACTGTGCAGTATACTTATATGCTAGCATTCTGAACACAGCCTCTGAGACATTTTTCACAATGTGTATGATGCTCATCTCTGTGTGTTTGTGTGTTTGTCCGTATGTTTCTATAGTAACCACTACATTGTCTCCGAGCTCAAGTCATGCCAGGAAGTGCAATGAAACCGAGAAGACATACTGCGTTAACGGTGGAGACTGTTATTTCATACATGGTATAAATCAGCTGTCCTGCAAGTAAGTTAAACACATTCAGAATACATTCATTTTATCTTATCTCACTTTGACAATCCCTTAACCTTATGTTCATGTCATTGTTTATGGGCTTATTTTTACTACACATTGGTTTGACATCACCAGACTCCAAATAGGGCTGTCAAATTAACATATTAATCTATATAAATTCATATTTAACAAACAAAAATTGAACACAGTTCACAGTTTACAGTTGCATAAGGTTTTTTCCTACCATCGAAGCAGTATTTTAGTATTGATTATATACTATTACTTATTAATAATTATGAATTAGATGTATTTTTTATATTTGTAGTTATTTTAAGTTGTAGTACTTTTGTTATGTGCTTTTGTAATTTTATTTATTTATTTTTAGCATAGCTTTAACTTATCTTTATTTCAGTTGTAGTCATTTTAGTAGGCCTACTTCATTTTAAACGTATTTATTTAAATTATTTGCCAAGGTAGCATTTCTCATTTTCATTGAAGTTTTGCAAGTTTAAGATTTTTGTATAATATTTATATTTTATTTTAATTTAGCTTTACTTCAGTTACAGAAACTGCATCAGAGCAAATCATTTACCACCTTCTGTAGTTGTGTGGGTGTTAACATGTTTATGGGTAATCCATGCTGATAAATAAAATATATTATTGCAGTTAGAGCAGTTGTGTGAATTTATTAGAATTTTATTCCGTTTGAATTTTACTTCCTTTCAATTCAAATTCAGCATACAGTTCTGCATTTTATTTGTTGCTTCAGTTCAAATTTGGGAATTTAAAAGAAATTCCATTCATTTCTAAAGGGCATCCAGTGCTACAATGTATTGGCTCATGAAACTGTGTAAGTTTAGTTTTGCTGGGGAAGAAAGCGAGCTTGGACTCTTGAGCTTTAATTGCCAGAGAAATGACAGTGTGTCTGAGGGTCTGGAGGAAGGGGACAGGGTTTGCCGTGTCGCCTGTCAGCTCTGTCGATGTATACAGCCGCGTTATCAATAGTACGCTGACTTACTGCTCCCCTGTGATACCACGGACACAATGCTCTGTTCTTATCAGCCATTTTGGACAGGGCAGCGCAGATTTACAGTGTATGTGCCAATTTTTTAAAGGAAGAGAAACAAACCCATTAAAGCTGTTTAAAGCTCAAATCCTTTGGGGAGATGTCATCCTTTAAAAGGGACTTGTCGAGTCAATCTCTTTAATTTACAGAACAGAGCGTCTAAAGTGGCTATAAGGGTTAATAGCCCTCAGGGAAGCATGGACTGATTTGAAAATAGTGTGTGTTTCTCTTGGCTTTCTTGAAACAGTGATTCACTTATATGCCTGAGAGTTTATCTTCAACAGCACTGAAGCTTTACTTCACAGTACAGGTGGGCGGTATGACCAAAATCCTTTAGCACAGTATAAGATGTTTTATATCATGGTAACAGTATATCATGGTGGAAATTCAGTATATAAAATACTTTAATAATGAATCATACTTCATCTCATTTGATTATATATATGTGTGTGTGTATATATATATATATATATATATTGTATAAAATTGTATATTTTGTATGTTTTTATATTTCAGTTAAATATATTGAATATTTTAATTATATATGCATAAAATATAAACATTAAACATCATAAGGTACATGACTTAAAAATAACAGAAAGGAAAAAAATCTGGATGGCATTAATGATATAGAAAACAAAAAAATTTACAAAAGATATTTCTTAGCCTATATTTAATTTAATTGATTTATAAAGCTGTTATATCTTTAAAGTCTCTTTTTTATTTAAAGTGTGTCTAATACTGTTATTATACAGCCTGGTTTTAATATAACCTGGTATTATTTGATATTTTATAAAGTTGGATTTTTTTTATTAGTAAATTGGCATTTATGAATATGAAATGTGGGCAGAATTATAATAAGATTAATTGTTTCAATGTTTTTTACCTTTCTTTGGATTACTAGTGAAGTCAAAAAGTACATTTTCCCACATCAAATAAAGGTTTTAAACAAGGAATGTTTTCATTAACAAATTTAGCACAAATATATATCGACCACAGTATAAAATGTTTGACAAAATCTCTACCGTTTGGCACATTTTTACCATTGTACAGAATATATATCATACCTCCCAGCTCTATTTCAGAGACATGACTTTAACATGTCATCTTAGTGTGTGTGTGTGTGTGTGTGTGTGTGTGTGTGTGTGTGTGTGTGTGTGTTAGTGTAGCTCCTGAGGCAAATGAAATGCAGCCTGTCCCAATGACCTCTGCAGTAAATTCTGCAGACAGACTGAACGGTGAATTCCCCAGTAGAACTGAACTTTAAAATACCCCCAGTATATAAATAATGACTAGACTATATGACTAGACGAAAGCTTTTGGCACCATTATGAAGCTTTTAGGGACTTTATTTTGCCCCTGTTTGTCCTAGGATATTCTCCTCATTAACATGAGGTCTTATAGATGATCACAGAAGTGGAACTGATTGGCATTTTATGAGGAAGTAAAGATGTAAAGCTTCAGATTAGGTTTCATTATGTTTGATCTACAGTGGCCCCAGAGTATTTGGACACCTATGTCCAAATACTCTGGGGCCACTGTAGATCAAATATAATGAAACCAAATAAAACTGATAAAAAATATAAACCCCACTGTATTTAAATAGTATAGGCTCATGTTGAGAAAGAACAATAACTTTAATGATAGCTATATTAGCGTGAACACCAATACGCAATAATGTTGTGTTTATTATAAGAACATGCTGCAGTTTTGTTTTCTGACACTTTAAATGCTGGATTGGATTCTGATTGGTTGTCATTGTTTTCATCATTCATCAGCTGGAAAACAATCGCTTTAAAAGTGATTCCAATAATATTGTTCCTCTGTGCTGTTATCGTTATAGTTGTGGTGGTTCTTTTACATTCAGAAGGATTTTTTAAAACATTATTATTGTCATAATTATAGTTATTGTCTTTGGTGCTACATGAAAACATCTGAAACATTTGACTATTTGACAAATGTTGCAGCTGATCCACTTCATCTGTGAAAAAAATATGCAAATGCAGGAGAAGCAGAAAGTGTCTGACTTCATGTCTCTCTTTTCAACTCTTTTCACCAAACAGTTAAATCCGACTGAAGTCAAACACACCTATTGAGTATGAGAAATATAAAAATATGAATGTGCATGTCACATATTATCATATCATCATATTATTGAGAATTCAATGCCTATTAAACTCTCACTATCATCCGGGCATTACTTGAAAGGAATGGACTGATTTGACCAATAATTTGTGATGACAATAAATTATAATTGAATAGTTTTCAAAAGATTTCAGAATTCATACACTGAAAAAAAATCACTCAAAAACTACACTCTTAAAAATAAAGGTGCTTCACAGCGATGCCATAAAAGAACCATTTTTGGTTCCACAAAGAACCATTCAGTCAAAGGTTCTTTAAAGAACCATCTCTTTCTTACCTTTTTATAATCTGAAGAACCTTCTTCTTCTTTTGTGAAACAGAAAGGTTCTTCAGATGTTAAAGCTTCTTTATGGAACCATTTAGACAAAAAAGGGTTATTCTATGGCATTGTGAGGCACCTTTATTTTTAAGAGTGTACCAGTAAATTTGACAAATAATTACAAAGGAATAGCAAGTAACATTTGAATGAAACATGAAATTTCATAGAAAGACTGAAATAATCGGTTTTATTTACAACTTCAAATTAAAAAATATTTAAATACTTCAAAGATTTCAAATTAAATATAAATCTAAGAAATAAATGTAAAATAATAAATAAGTAAAAATAAGTAGTTTTTACTAATTTAAATTTTTTTTACATTTATTTAAACAAGCATATTTTTGTGTGTACAAATGTCCCTAGTAAGACAAAAAAAGGTCTTAAAGGGGTCATGTGACGTAGCTAAAAAAACATTATTTGGTGTAATGCAATGTGTTTATGTGGTTTAAGGGTCAAAAAAA